GGCAAATCCGAGTCCAGAGTATTCAATCCTTTGATTCTGAATGCAATCGTACTTGTTTCAATCGACAAGTGAGAATCATTTGTTGTCAATATCTTAGGCCACATTTACACCTAGACAAATCCACAGAAACGTACTTTTAAGTGTCTTCTCCAAAAACGTTTTTATAAAAGTTTTTAACCGTTTACACGAGCATCATTATTGTGGGTGTGATCCCTCACTTACTGAATTAACTATCTACATAAATTAACGCATGTCAATCAAAATGGCCACTCAAAACCACCAGTAGTCACCTAAAACGAGGAGAAATAGCAGCAAGTTTATATGGACTGATGATGAGGTAGAGTTGTTGCTTAATGTTGCAAACAACTACAAAGCATCGAAAGCAGCAGAATGTATAGACTGGGAGTCTGTGAGAAGCAAGTATAAGGATATATTTGAGATTTTTGTCAACTCCTTCTTTGAAGAACAGGATGATTCATTCAACAATTTTCCCCACAAGAACGTAAGTGCGAAGTTAAGTAATGTTACTTCTAAGTTAAAGGCTATTAGGCTAAAGTTTTGACAAGCAGTAGACTCAGGCAGACGAAGTGGCCATGGGAGAGTAATAATGATTTACTACAAATTATGTGAAAAGCTATGGGGTGGTAGCCCTGCCACTGAGCAAATTGAAGGAGTGGAAACTGTTGAAATGATAAGGAGTACAAGTGATGAGTCAAATGTCAATGGTGATCTAGCAACAAGTGATGCCGATGCACCTGTAAGTGATGACAATATGGCAACCAGTATTAGCGTTGATGCATCCACAAGTAACGAACCTCAAGAATCTGATAGTGATGAATCCAGTCAACGAGACAAATATGAACATATTCAACATAAGAAAAGTACTGACAAAAATATCACAAAGAAAAGACGAGAGTTTGTTAACGACAAGCTGAAAAATTATCGTTAGGATAAACTGAAAAGGAAGCTTCCTCTTCATGCACAAATACTTCACTGTGCCCAAAAAGAATTAACAGTTAAGAAACAATTAATTGAGCAAATTAATACAATGGATAAAATATATTCTGATAATATAGAGAAAATGACACAGAACATGGAACAATTATCAAACTCAATAGCTTAATTTGCTCAGACAGTTTATGACATACCAGCATTCTCCAAAACATCATACCCTTCCCAAACGTATAATCCATACCTACAAAGCTCTCAAATGCCTTTTCATGCTACGTCAGGTTATCATTCACCTAATAATAATCCTTATGACAATGCATAAACAAGCTACATCCTATAAGAACAGTAACTATCATAATGATTATTAATTGTAACTGATGACTTAAAACTATTATCATCATAACTATTATTATTGTTATTATGACTATTATTAACACTCATTATTACTCTCTTGATTACATAGGTAAATAAGTATTCTCATTGTTAAACTCATTTTAATCCTAAATTAATTGAAATTGTTACG